CGACCTCTCTTTTCTCATTTCACAGCCATGTGGAAATGATAATAGTTAAGATGGTCACTGCTTTCAGAGTGTAAATTAGCATGAGCCTCTATGCATACTACCCAGTGCAGTATATTAATGCCATAGAACTTCCATGCTTCTATGACAGCTTGAATAAAGCTCTCTCTCGTTGGAAGCTTTGATGTGTCAGCTTGACTGTACGTTATGATGTACACCATTCGCTGAGTTTGCAAATCAAGCGACGCCATAATCACTGAGATTACATACACTGTACAAGGCCTTTTATTTCTTCCGAAATCAACTCCTTTACCGTTGGGACCAGAAACATTGAAAAAATTCTGAAAAGCCGTAAAACAGCTCTTAGAAATGTCATTTTAATCTGAGATGTTCATATAGTCGTGTTCCAATAACATATAGGCCTGTAAAACACCCCAATTGTGGATTTTCCCTGGAGACGTGCATATATGTGAAATTCAGACAATGGTGGACAAAATTACTTGGGACACTTGCGTCATTGCATGAATTATCTGTGTTTTAAAAACGGAGTTTGAAAAAGCACTGTTATCCTTTTCAAAATTTGTTTCTGCTACCCCCCCTCTCACCCCATACAATGTTGAAACTCTGGTGAAATGTCCAACATTGTAGGTGGGGTGGGGGGAGGGGCTGAGCAAGTGTATTGAAAACACGCGTGACTGTTTGTTTGGCATGTGTGAAAAAGCGCCACAAGTGTAAATTTGTCCCAAGACTTTTGTCCATGATTGTAAGTGCTTCATTACCCTAACCTAATCAGACTCAAATTAGCTCATGAATATTCAGGGTTGCAGTACATGTAAGTTTAGAGCAGATGGATGATGTACAAATCTTACCTGAATGATGAATCATCAGCAGTTTTTAAACCTATGGGAAAGGGTTGAAGAAGACAAAAATGTTGTATGATATTAGTGTTTTTGTTGCTGTTTCATTTCAGGAAACTCCCAGTTTTGATTCAAGGTGAGACTTCAGTGGGTAAAACCAGTCTGATTCAGTGGCTTGCAAAGGCATCTGGTAATCACTGTGTTAGAATAAACAATCATGAACACACTGATATTCAAGAGTACCTGGGCTGTTACACTTCAGATGAGAATGGGAAACTAGTGTTTAAAGAAGGCAAGTGAATTTCTGATCTATTTAAATATGTAGTCAGTAACAAGAAGTGANGACAAAATTCCTTGGGACACTTGCGTCATTGCATGAATTATCTGTGTTTTAAAAACGGAGTTTGAAAAAGCACTGTTATCCTTTTCAAAATTCGTTTCTACCCCCCCACCCCATACAATGTTGAAACTCTGGAAGAATGTCCAACATTGTAGGTGGGGTGGGGGGAGGGGCTAAGCAAGTGTAGTTGAATTCACGCGTGACTGTTTGTTTGGTGCATGTGAAAAAGCGCCACAAGTGCAAATTTGTCCCAAGACTTTTGTCCATGATTGTAGCGTAATCTTTATTATAACATAGCGCATGCTAGTACCATCTGATATCTATTGAGCCATCATGAACGAAATGAACGCACGGCCATGCATATGTAAGATGACATGTGCAGTTTCAAATTAACTGCAAACTTTAGTCGAGTTTAGTGCAAGTTCCTTTTGTTTAAGTTTCAGCAAAGTGAAGATTGTTCTGAACAATCCAAACTCTACTTCAAGCCTTTGACTTTTCGGCAAGCTAAGATGTTTACTTAAACCTGAATATTTTGACTTTGTTTGTGTACATTTTCATTGAGTATTTTTCACTTTGTTTGCCTACATTAATTTTTCATTATATTTAATTCGAAGAAGCGCATTTTCCATTGACAAGTTTAGAAACCAGGTTTTCGTTCAACCATTGCTCAACTTATTGTGGCGTGTTAGGATCCTGATGACCTTTGTTTTCCTTCATCGTGCATTGTGAGAACTTTGTAGTCAATCAGGCTCGAAGTAGAGTCAAAGGCTCATGGGTAAGATCCTCATTGAGCACTTGAAGAATGGAACTGATAAGAGGCTAAGAGCAGAGCAAGCAGGATTCCGACAAGGAGGAAGCACCACAGAACAAATATTCATCTTGCGCAACATTATCGAGCAGTCGTGTGAGTGGGAGGGCCCCGTAATTGTTAATTTCATTGACTTCAAGAAAACCTTTGACTCGTTGCACTGACCAAGCCTCTGGGACATCATGAGGACATGTGGCATACCAGAAAAGATCATAAGAGTAGTCCAACTTCTATACCAAGATAGTGAGTGTGCAGTTCTGGATGGAGGCCACACATCTGAGTGGTTTAAAGTCGAAACAGGTGTCAAGCAAGGGTGCATGATGTCTGGGTTCCTGTTTCTCCTTGCCATTGACTGGATAATGTTCGAGACAACCAAGCAAGCCAACATCAGAATAAGATGGAGGTTCATGGACCAACTAGAAGATCTTGACTTCGCCGATGATATTGCTCTGATCTCCACCACCCAACATCAGATGCAAAGGAAGACAGACAAGCTCACAGAAGCTGCCCAGAGAGAAGGTTTAAACGTCAGTAAGACCAAAACCCAAGTCATGAGGCAAAACTGCAAGAACACAGAGCCAATCAAGTTCCAAAATGGCAACACCATCAAAGGAACCAAGGATTTCACCTATCTAGGAGCTGTTGTAAGCTCAGAGGGAGGTTGTGACAAAGATATGGATAGTAGGTTGAGTAAGGCCAAAGCAGCGTTCAGAAAGCTAAGGAGAATATGGAGCTCAAAGCAGTACAATAGGAGTCAGTCCTTTTGTATGGAAGTGAGACATGGAAGACCAATGTCCAAGACAATAGAAAACTAGACTCCTTCCAATACCAGTGCCTCAAAAGAAGCCTGGGCATATTCTAGCCTTACATAGTATCAATTGATGAGCTTAACGAAAGAACAGAATGTACGAAGATGAGTATGGTAGTAAAGAAAAGGAGATGGAGGTTTTTAGGACACGTTCTTAGGATGCCCAGAGAGCATCACTGTGCCACAGCACTCACCTGGACACCTACAGGCAAAAGGAAAGTCGGCCGCCCCAAAACAACCTGGCGCCGCACTGTGGAGAAAGAGAGGGCAATGGCGGGCTGGAAGTCCTGGGAAAAAGTGAAAGCTCTGGCTAAGGACGGGAGCAAGTGGAAGAAGAGTAGTGCAGCCTTAAGCACAATGGATCGCGAAGAAGATAGGTGAGGTGAGGTGACAATTACGTTTATGATGGCTCAATAGGAATTAGATAGGACTCTGTGAAAATGTGTTAAATGGAAGTGACATGCACCCCATTGATCCTTTACTAACTTATTTACATTCACCTTAAAAAAGGAGGATGTCAGACAAACTACTTACTGAAATAATTCGTCGAACGGATGGCGAACAAATCCTGAGCGTTACCCTGAATCAAATAAACAACACTCGAATTCATTAGATAGGACTCTGTGAAAACGCATCAAATGGAAGTGACATGCACCTCATTGATCCTTTACTAACTTATTTACATTCACCTTCAAAAAGCAGAATGTCAGACAAACTACTTACCGAAATAATTCGTTGAACAGATGGCGAACAAATCCTGAGCATTACCTTGAATCAAATAAACGACACTCGAATTCATTCCAGAAAACAACTTGGGTCTTGTTCAGCTTTAACAATTGTATGATTCAATCACAACAAATCCAAGATGTATACACCTCAAAAAGCACAATGGTAGGCAAATTACTTAAGTACTTACCAACATAATTGCCGAACGAGGGAAAAGAAATTGATTTTAACAATTGTTATACTGGAAGTATAACAAGTATGATTTTTAAGAATACAAAAAAAGTGTTTAGTGTTTTGTTCACTCACTGAGTTGAAAAATAAACAATATTGTGTTCAATTACAGCAATAATTTGAAACATTAACTAAGAGAAATTGATTTCAACACCTGTTATACTAGAAGGAGCCCAAATAAATATTACAAAATTCAACCGACTCTTGTTTACTAACTCAGTTCACTCGTTGGCACTTACCAATAGGTACAACTAGTATACCTTTGCGAGGAAAACAAAAGTATCAAGTTACAAACATTGGCGTGAAAAGTGAAGTTTTCATGTTTGCTACTTTAATGCATTATTGAATTTAAAACGAACAAAAATCAATGTAAAATATCACAGTAAAATTCAAAAGCTGTCATCACAAGTAATTTTTGGACCTTGAATGAAAATACACACATGAAACATACACACTGCTAAGATAACATCTTATCAAGGTTTGTGTCCATTTATATTCTGCAAGGGGAGAAGCCCTAGCTGACTACCGAGGTAAATACAAACCGGTAGTAAACTGAGCAGGGGCGAGGACCTGTGTGACTACAGTCCTAGAGCTATCAATTGCACTCTACACTATCTGAGATTGTCTCACTAGTTAGTTTAATTTAGGGGGTTTGACTGAACCTCCTGAACCCCCCTAGATCCACCCCAGATCCTTCCTGTAGATGTTGGAAAATTGGATGTGTACATAGTGCTGTTAATATTGATCATGTTGTAAGTAATGTGGTTTGATTTTCTCTGGATTTTCCAGTGTGTACTTGTTGGTTGTTTGGGAGAATGCATTTCCTTTACACTGATTTGCATTCTTAACTACCTGTCTGGCTTCCTGAGACAAAGGAAGTTTTCCTAATTACGTGACTGTTGTTTCATATGACTCATAAGTCTCAGTTCTTGGGCAGTCAAAGGATGTTCAGGATCAAAGAAATGACAAGTTCAAATATTAGACCAGCAGCAATACTACAAGTGACTGCCCTCATCCATCTGTTCCATGCTAATTCAAAAGTCTACAACATTGGTGGTTTTTTCACTTGAAGTAAATGCCATATCTTGTTGGTAAATAAGATTACATAGTTTCATGCTAGATGAGTGTTAGTAGCAGTTATTTCAAGTGGTTTTTTAACCCATCATAGGTATTTTTCCATGCAAGCAAGTGTCCCTCTTGGTGTGGATGATGTCACAAGGATTGAGATAGAGAATAGTATTTGTCGTGAAGGTGGACCTCTACCTGAATGCTTCACTTATCCCATGGAACATGTCCTTTGTCTTCTTGAGGAGGTAACACATTTAATGTGAGGTTTCAAATGATTTGGACCATAACTCAGTATCTTCTTACATAATTATGTGGGATTAGTGGCCCCTTGTTAGAGGTTACTGGTACATATTTTAGTGTTGATGTGTGTTCGTGGCTTAGATCAAAACTAAGTATTTCCAACTCAGTACCCTCTTACGGAGTTGGAGGTGTCCCTTACTGTAGGTTGCCAAACGGAGTTCATGAGTAGCTACTGAACCATATTTTAGTATTCCCTTATGTGAGATGTCCCCGAGAAGAAACGTTGCAAGACAATAAAAGTTTTATTTAGTTCCATGCTCTGCAACTCAAATCCCCTTTGTGGCATCACCCTGTTTTTATCATTCAATGGGTGGGATATGCTACAATATTGTATCTTTAACTTAGTTATATTGTCATTATATTTCAGGTGTTTTTTCCAAGTTTCCTAAAAAGTCAAGTGTACTCCAGGTATCTTACAGAGCTGTTTAATTCCATTAGAGACAATCCTTCTTCCCAAGTGCTCTCAGCCTCTGTTAGCAGTGAAGATGATATTCAGGGACTGGATGCTCAGAGTGAGGAAAATAGTCATCTGGTAAAATCTACATTTGGCTCTGATGTTGATCTTAAGGAACACCCAGATGCCCTTTGGCAAAGACCTAACCCTGGGTAAGTTCACGGTGTAGGTAAAGTTAGTTGTAAGACATTTGGGCCCAGGGAGCCAGTACTATCTGTATGCATGCATCATTTTTGTGGCAAGTTTCTGTCTTTTAGCAGTGGAAAAATGGGTCCTATATTCATTGTGGTCTTGTTGTTTCTTATGTTATGCAGGAGGCAGTCCAAATTCACACAGACCTTAAGTTTCCCACTTAATAACAAACTAATGATTGTACCTACAATCGAGAACAAAAGTCCCTGGAACACTTACGTGATTTAACAAATTATCTATTTTTTAGTTTTAAAAACACATTGCTGTTCCCCCTCCCCACCCAATACAATGTTAAAACTCAGGAGAAATTGCAAGTACTAGTCTTGAGGGGTGTGGTAGAGGTTAGGCAGGTGAAGTTGGACTCGCGTCTGGCATGTGCGCAAAAGCGCCAAAAGATCAAATTTATCCCAAGACTTTTGTCTATGACTGTAGTTACAACACGTAATGCATATTTTAATGTTGCTGTTATTGGTGATGCTTAAAAGAAAATTGGGTGGTATGCTAATAATTACTGTTCTAGATTTTTAAAACATGGATGCAAATTAGTATGGTTGGCCATTCGTTTCAAAATTACTATACGCGGGTTTTTCTGCCGCGTATAATTGTTTACATACGTTACGTATGGGCTTCAAGCCCATGTATACGACCATTTAGATCGCTTATATACACATTTTTAATGGGCCACATATTTGCGTAAATTAAAGCGCGGCGATATGCGAAATAAATACCCAAATATACGCGTCCTACAAGGACCCATATATACGCGTGCTAAAATGCGCGTATATGAGGGTCTCGTAAATTACGTTTTATATGCCAGCACGAAATGTGCCTTTTAAGAGAATGGCTGTTCGTGTATGATAGCAATGAAAATTACTTTAACTAGGAATCGTCAATATGGCGGCAGTGGTAAAATGCCTTGTCTTGGTCTATCTGCTATTTAATGTTTGTTACTGCAGCTCTCCAGTGAATGAACTTCTAGAAACAGTTATGCGTGTTTTGAATGACTGTTCAATATTTTATCCTAACGCTAATCGTCGTGAAGTTGCTGTGGATTACTCTGTTCATCGTTTAGTGGCCTGCGTAGTTTGGCGGTTTTTAGGCAATTTGAACTTGCTAAGAAAGCGGCGAAGCCGCGATAACGAGCGCCAAATGCGGCGTAGCCACGAGGAGCCTGCTGGGTTCCTGCTCGTTTTCGCGGCTTTGTCGCTTTCTGCGCTCGCACTCAAATTGCTTAAAAAATTGCTAAACGGCCAAGCTACGCAGGCTAATCCTTTAGTTGACTCATTGGACAGAGGTACCAAGGCGAATGCTGAGAGGATACGGCCTCTAGAATCGCTGGTGAGACAAATGCAATATTTACTACTTAGATGGGAAATGTTTGCATTAAGAGCAGTTTCATGCACCTCAGTGTACTCCCATTAGGGCTTTGCCAACTGCATCAGCTTCTAATGGAAGAGTGGGTCGTCCAGCCTATGATATATCAATACCTCAAGGGGAGTTTTAGGAAACAATGTGATTTTAGTGTAAGTCCTATTAGGTCTTCACCAGATAATTCATCTGGTTGGGTGTTATCATCAAATGTGTCCCTGACAGCTAGTATTTCCGGTATTACATATATCTTGTAAAATCACTGCGTTCACCCATATTGGTTGTGCGTACAGTATGGTTATTCCATGCCTCAACTAGGAGATTTAACTGGTTGTTAATTCTGGAAAGAACTATGTAATACAAACAGGACAGATCGATTATGCTGGTCGATTCCAGGATGCCATTTTCTTCCATCTGGTAGAACAGAGTGTAGTAGTATGTAGAACTGACCGACTTCAATAAAGACCTCTCTCCAGAGATGCTCAATTCACTGGTTGTGTACAGACAACCCAGCAATTTTGCTTCCCCTATTAAATCCCCTGTGCCATAGCATAGCTCTTCCTACCTCTAAATTTTCAACCCCTTCATCTGAACACACTCTAGAGGGCAATCCATAACTTTGCACAGCAGCTAAGAACAGAGCGAGCCCAGTCGCAG